TAATAATAATAATAATAGAATATACAAAACAAGTGATGCACAATGCAGTTGCTCACCACTTGTTGACCAATGCCCAGCCCATCCCCGAGCTGCCCCCCCTGGCCAACTCCCCCAGTTTATATGCTGGGCATGACGTCACGGGGTATGCAACAGCCCTGTGGCCAGTTTGGGTCAGCCATCCTGGCTGTGCCCCCTCCCAGCTTCTTGTGCGCCTGGCAGAGCATGGGAAGCTGAACAGTCCTTGACTGGTATAAACACTGCTTAGCAACAACTAAAATATAAGTGTGTTATCAACATTATTCTCATCCTAAATCCAAAACACAGCACTCTACCAGCTACTAGGAAGGAAATTAACTCTGTCCCAGCCAAAACCAGGACAGATCCATAATGATAAATAAATGGACACGAACTTCCATCATCTTCAGGACTTTCGCACAAGTGTCCCGTGTAGCTGTTAGAGCATTTCGCCTCTCTTCCCCCTCACAACACAAACCCATGAGTCCCCTGTAGCCCCAAGTACATCCACAACATCTCCTTTATTCTGCTTCAACAATCTTTTGAATAAAACCACAGAAGGAAAACTTGCTGCTTCACAACCTGACTTTTATCATTGAACTTCATAGTCCGTTCTGCAAATTAAAACGGTCCTTACCGTTGGGTCATTAGACAGCAACAACGAAATGATTTTTAAAACAATAAACTTGCCAACAATGTCCTTTAGAATGAAATAAGATGCCCGTAACCCAATCATCATTTTCCTGATGTGACTGTCTTATTCAAGAGTCACTGAACCACTGTGAATTCCCGGTCTCCGTCAACAACAGCAACCCGCCAGCCATCTGCCAGCCTAAGCTTTCACATTCCGGGGGTGGCTTTTCCCGTGGACCGAGGTCCCCATCAGCAGTAGCGTCGAACATCGCATGCTGCTTTCTCTGACCATCGCGTGCTGCTTTCTCTGACGTGCTTCTCCAATTACGCAATTTCCCCTTTCTCTAAAGGAGACAAATATGGCAGTTTAGCGTTATACAGGGTGCAAGGAGAGGGGTTGTTGCATTCTAAGAGAAACAGCGATTTTTGTGGCTATTAGTTATTATTTGTACTTCAGTAGTAACCAGAGATCCCGGTCAGGCCTCTCCCTTTACTGTGTTTAAGAGTGTACAAAGATACCTTAACATCTGTCTCCCTTTAAGGGCTTTTAAGATCTTACATCCCGGTCTTGATCATTCTCTGAAGAGAACATTACATAAAATACACCAGGAAAAACACGTTAAGCTTTTTCAGACCCCTGAGTACAGCATGCCGGTTGCCTGCTTCAGAAGGACGCGACCCTCACCCCGCAGAGCTCCCTTAAGTTTAGAACTGGGGTGAGTTTCTTTTGCCAGGCCTGTGAAGGATTACCTGAGGCGTTCATAAAGCGTGAGGCCGGGGGGGGGGGGGGGGGGGG